CATTGAGTACGTGATATGAGCTGTTAAAAATCCAGGTGTGAGAGCAATTCTAAGCACTGAGTGGAAAACAGTCAGCTGTTTCGAAAAACAAGTATCTGCCAGTTCTTGATGGATCTTCGGTCGAGCTGGAGGTATATAAATTCTAGACATTGATTTGCATAAACTATTCGGGTTGGGACTCTTCTTACTCGAGAGTCACTTCTCTACTAGACACTTGTTATTGTTCCTACAGAGCTCGCGATGAATACCATGACGAGTTCCAATTGAGCACGAGTATGAGGACATCACTCAGTTGTTGGCCTTGATGCGTCTCATTGCGCACAAGTCTTGCAACATCCTCAAGCAAGCGACAATTCGTTGAGTGCCCACATTGCATGCTGTAGTCTGAGTAGGATGGTTGAGAGTGGCTATACCTCATACGACGATGATTTGAAAAAAAAACAACGCGGAGATGGGCTGGTCACCCTCGCCGACTATCAAAGACCTCAAAAGCAGCTGATGTGTGATAGGCATTGGCTGGCCGCCTAGCCGAAATCGGCTTCGAGCGAGCGAGAGAGAGTGGCTATACCATCAGTATTGCTATCACTCGGTTGAACTTGTCCAAGACTTGTTCATTTCGTTCCAATGAGTATTGGTTGTTAATGCGGCAAGAAGAATATGTGCCTAGCATGGACCGAAAGGAAGCAGACCGTTTCCACGAAGGTTTATATGGTCACTAATGAGACACCTTTGACGTAACGAACTAGAGGATGTATCAAGCACTCTATCGAAGTTGACAAAGCTCACATGAGTATTCATCAGCATCCCTAGGATCCAGTGAACACAAGGCTACGAGCATTTGCTGCCATTGGATATTCCTGTGAGTGATTCGTCTTTGAGTGAGAGGAGCTTTACTCTAACGAGAATCGATCGTCACGTTCAGTGACCATTCTTATACTCTCTTTCTACGGTTGACGCCGCTATGATATGGTAGCTCTGCTATTAGTGGTGCAACTCTGATGTTTTCTGTCTGTTTCGTGAGAGGTTGTGTTGGTGATGTTTATGATTTTATGGAGTAGTTGTTCGAACTAGTTTTAGTGGGTTGATGTAGACTGGTCAAGGTTGGAGTATGAGAAGAATAGCCGACTGATTCGTTCATACGTTCTGTGCAGCGTAACAAAGAGAATACATCTGGCAGGAAACAGGACAGTATACTCGACTGGAGACGTCTCGGTCGACTATACCGATGATCAGTAGCTTGCAATAGTGGGTTACGTACATCACTTCGTTCTTTGTTATAGGTCCTGAAGAACGGAACAATATTTATTCGGTAAAAGCTTTCGTATCACATCTAACATTTTATCAGCAGCTTTGCCCGAAATTCAGATTATCCGAATCTAATGCTATATATTCGGCAACGTAATTCGCTGAATGCATTCATGACAAGGTAAGGTTTCAGGGAAGACTCCCAAAGAGGACCCTCATGTAGTCTGACTACAGTAGTTACTCACGGCCATGTTATTGGTCAAAACATTAAAGCATGGAGTAACACAAGTGCCAATCTGGCGAGGAAACTAATCGCACAGTAAGAGTCGAACAATAGTTTTGCGACAGTTAACTAGACCGGTAATAATTTTACATCAATACAACATTCTATTTTTCATTCAGCTGCAGCCATTTTCATGGATGCCATTGGCACTGCCGACTCTACCGATGGCTCTCTCCTAAGAGCCTCTTGTTGACGGACGTACAACATCACATGCGCGGCGCACAGGAACGCTAAGAATAAGGCTAAACTCGGACCCCAGCTGAAGCCTTTCTTAATCGAATCTGCAGAAACACACCTCATAGTAATAGTTCGATATACACTAGCACTCACTCATGACGATATGAAGTCCATTAGACCCATATGAGAATCCAATAAGATTAGCAGACATCAATAATAGGATATTCATGGCAGCACCAAGAGCACACAGATACTTATACCTGAGTTATTTTACACAGTGATGCAACAACCGATTTCTGTCTTCCTGACCATGGAGAATGCCTCAAAGGTATGGCCCAATCCTGCTTCTGAATAGTGAGGGATACAATTATCTCAGGTATCATCATTGCACAAACAGCCCATGCCCACTGGAGCATTTGTAGTTGTAGTTCATGCCACACCGCGACAAAGGTGAAGACAACCCAGATCTGCCACTATGAAATATGCCGTTACTACTGATGAGGTGTACTACATTAAGGAACTTGTACTTGGTACCTCCTAGTGGTATGTAGATGTATCGGATGAGCCATTGGTTGTATGACCTGTGCCACGAGCGCCAGAACTGTGTGCAACCTGCGAATGATAGCCAAAGTCGAACATTCAAATATGTGAGAATGACGTACTGTAATTGTTGAAGACGCATCGAGTCATGTTTTCTGGCGTTTCTACACCATCGCAAAGCGCCCAAAGTCGAAAGAAGCGCCAGATGATAACGAACTTCAGCCAAATGAAAAATAGCGACTAAGAATGCAACAGTTGCCTAAGGAGATGTGCGCATGAAAACACCTACGAAAAGCGACACGAATACGAGGTTGGGGCCGGTCATATTGGCAAGGTTCTGAAACAACAACGAGCGAATACTCGGCATATATGAATTCGCACACCGACACACCTGAGCACTGTCGGAGCCTTTGGCTATGATATTAGCCCAACAGAAATGCTGATATAGAGACATCAATATAAGGCACAGGGCCCAACGAATAGCATACACGACTATCTGATCACAGACACGTTCATATACAGTCGCTGAGCTGTAGTACTACCCTTTTCATAGAGTACGACGTTTGCGGTTGGTATACATATGTGACGAAAGAATTGAATGTTATTATAGGACCAGCAGCGTAGAGTGGTAGATAAAGAATATAGGCCTGATAAAACCGCA